TCGCTTATGCCTTAATCTCTGCAAGTGAGTTTCTAGATGAATAACCTAAAGACTATAAGGAAGTTCTGAGGAGTCGAAAGAAGACTGGATGGCTGAAGGCCATGGATGATGAGATGAAATCTCTTCATGATAACAACACCTGCGAACTGATCAAGAAACCTACTGGAGCCAAGTTAGTCAACTATAAATGGATTTTCAAAGTTAAGGAAGGGATCGAAGTAGCGGCATCGAAGAGATACAAGGCAAGATTGGTTGCTAATGGGTTCACTCAAAAAGAAGGTGTTGACTTTAATGATGTGTTCTCTCCTGTTGTAAAGCACGGGTCCATTTGAATGTTCCTAGCCATGGTGGCCCAGTTCGACCCTGAACTGGAACAAATGAATGGGAATATTGCATTCTTATATAGTGATTTAGATGAAACAATCCTGATGAGACAACCTGAAAGGTATGTCGAAAAGGGGAAGGAAGATTATGTGTGCAAACTAAAAAGATCTTTATATGGACTGAAACAATCTCCTCGACAGTGGAATAGGAGATTCGACAAGTTCATGGCACGTATAAGTTTCATCAGAAGTCAGTTCGACCACCGTGTTTACTATAGATTTCGAATGGGAAATTCATTTGTCATATTGTTGCTCTATGTGGATGACATTCTAATAGCTAGCAACAATGGCGAAGATGTAATGAGGGTAAAGGCTAAACTCAATAAGGAGTTCGGCATGAAGGATCTGGGAGTTGTGTCTAGGATTCTTGGGATTGACATCCGAAGAGATAGAAAATATTCGAAATTATGCTTATCTCAAGAGGCATACCTATGGAAGGTTCTAGAAAATTTTGGTATATCGAATTCAAAAATGCAGTTGTGACTCCGACAAACCCTCAATTCAAGCTGATTATAGATCAGTGTCCCGACACTGATGTTGAAAGAACTTAAATGAATAGCATTCCATATGCTAATGTAGTGGGCTCTTTGATGTATGTTATGGTCTGTACTAGACCCGACATAGCATATGTAGTAAGTCTTGTAAGCATGTACATGGTGAAGCCTGGAAAGGCTCACTAGCAAGCATTAAAGTGGATTCTAAGGTACATAAATGGGTCTCTGAATAGAGTCTTAATTTATGGTGGAGCCTCGAGTGAAAATAGTAAAGAAGCAATCGAAGGATATGTCGACTCTGATTATGAAGGTTGCATGGATTCCAGAAAATCTACTTCTGGATATGTGTTCACTATGTATGGGATAGCAATCAGTTGGAAAGTAACACTTCAGAAGGTCATTGCCTTATCAACCACTGAAGTGGAATATATTTCCTAACTGAAGTTATGAAGGAAGCATTGTGGCGTGAAGGTTTTGCAAATGAGCTAAAACTTCAAGGTCGAGTTATCACTGTTAAATGTGATAGTCAAAGTGTAATACACTTGTCGAAGAATTCAGCCTATCATGAGTGAACCAAGCACATTAACATGAGGCTGCATTTCGTCAGAGGGGTAATCGAGCGTATAGAAGTTCAAATGCTAAAGATTTTGACAGATCATAATATTGCTGATATGATCACCAAGATGTTGCCAAGTTGCAAGTTTTTCCACTATATGCAGTTGATAAAACTGCATGAAGAAAGCTAGTTTCTTGATGTTATAGAGTTAGATCCAAGGTGGATATTTATGAGATATTGGATTGAACTCTAGTATGGTCGAAGGGTAGCTTCTGGTTCGGCAGGAATTAAGAATGAGATCAAAGTCTTTTCGCATGTTGTTATCGGAGTAATGCATGTTGTAGTCGAAGTTTATTCTAACATGCATTAGTCAATATTACTAGGATTGTTAGCATGTTGAATTGGGCCTTGCTTGTAAGTCCAACTATATAAGTTAGCTGGTATCCCAAGTTAGCTTGTAATGGGTAATTGCTAAAAAGTCAATTAGGTTAGTGTGCTATTTTTCTTATAAATAGGATACTAGTTTCTAAATCTTGACATAAAAAAAAATAGGAAGATAAAATCCTAATTTCAAGTGAGAGAGGTTATTTTGTTATTCTCGTATACTTGTAATCTTATTCTAAGAGTAAGGAAAGAATAACGGTTTATAACCAATTCTTATTCTTCCTTATTGTCTTATCTTGTTTTATTTGTTAACCCTAACCCTTGTGTGGTTCTTGACCATAAAAAAACCTTCTATATTTTGTTTAAAGACATCTGATTCACAACAATGTATATGGAAATTAATTTTGATGCAGATTAAAAGAAATAATGAATGATCAAGATACAAATAATATAATATGCATATGTACTACAATCAAATGATCTCACATGAGAAACATATAAAACATAATAATAATTAAGATAAATCAGGCACACAACAAGAAGATTAAAGGGATGGGGACACAGTCACACCAACTATTATGATCTATAACCTAACTTGTTGCACAAGTAACATTAGTAAACGAAAAAAATCACATAGAAAAATCACAATACGTTGAATAAATTTTTCTTTGTTCCTCTTGAGGATATTCTAATAAGATACACTTGTCTTGGTTGAAATTCTCGATGTTTCTTAACTAGATATCAATTAATTGAAACGGGTACACGTTCAAAATATCCTTGAGTATCTTGCCATCAAAAGATTGATTAGCTAAATCATTTCTTGAACTAATGTTTTGACTAACTCGGTAAATAAATTAACATTGACAATAGTTTAGCCCACTCAAGCAATATTGATTTATACTTTTTTATACTTGTTGACCAAATAACGAACGCACCTATTTCTTCTTATTTTGGAGGATCTTCATATCAACTATTACAGTGACTTTGGAAATAGAGGTCTTCAAGGAGATGCTTATTTTATCTTCATTAAAATTTTCCCACTTCACATTAGACTTAGATGCTTCGAGTTTCATGATAAATTAACATTCCAAGCATAATTGAAATACCTAAGGCCATTAAGACAATGGCTAGGTGGTTATTCCTGCACATAGACCTTAATATTGTGTCATCTCAATCCTAGTTAGAAGTCATCAGTGAAAAGTTAAATATAGGAAAATTGAAATAACTAGTATAATCAATCTTTACTCAAAACAAGATGGATCAACAATCCCCAATTCCCCACGATTTTTATGAAAAGGTTTCACGGACAGTGCTTTCGTAAAAGTATCAACGAGATAATTTTTTGTATCCCCATATTCAAAAAATAGCATCACCTTTTTCAACATGATGTCAAAGTAAATGGTGTCTAATCTTAACATTTTTGTTGTGTGAATGTAGAACATGATTATTAGTTAAGTTTAATGTGTTAGTGTTATAGTAATTAATTGGATTGCTACGCATAACTCAAAGCCACTTAATCAAGTGATATCAAGTAAGCATCATCATATTTATTCATAGTATAGATTTTGCTTTTGAATATGGGAGTTATAATGAACACACTCTTAGGATCATTCTATTTCATATCATCAACTTTTAAAGTTGCAATATTTGATCAAAAGATCATCTTTAAGGCCAATTGTTTAAGGAGAGTATGGACATCGAATGTTTCAGAAGCGGGTTAAATAGACTACTCTCCTAAAATCAATTTCAAAAATATTCTCTTTAAAATCAGAGTTTTCCAAACAAATGTGCATATTACAAAGATATAAGAGGTTTTATAAAATGTTATAATTGAATGAATATCACAATTAGCTCAAGTTATCAAATATCACAACAACTGAAAATAAAGTTTCTTAAATAAGCAATACAAAAATAATCATAATTCAATATTCATACAAGATTAAATATGAATTTGACTAATTGAATGATCAATATGAAATAAAATTTTATACTGTCATAATTTTCAAGAAAATATTCAAATAACTAAATCTAACACAACAGAACCCTTTGATAATAAACCACTATAAACATATCAACTCTATCAAAATGTGATTCTAGAAAGCATTAAAGAGTATTACACCAGAGAGAATCCATGAAAAAAGAAATAATGATGAAAAACTAAATAGTAATGTTTCTTTAATTGTAGTTTAATGTGGAATAAAACCTCATTGAAATGGCTCATAACCAAAGAGATCACGGTTAAAGCCTCTAATACTATTTAATCAAACTTCATAATGGCTTTACATTTGTGAACACCAAAATTAAAATTTCTCATCTCACAAGAAATAAATAGAAAGAGTTTCCACGGGTGAAGATCCTCTCCAGTGTAAATTGTGTGCAGTGGAATATAAGCCACATTTTTTTTAACACACACTTTGAAAAAAATGAAGGGTGATGATATAAACTGCACACTCTCTGGTGAAAATTCCACTGGAGAGGACCCCTTCCCAGTTTCCACGTAGCCAAAGGCGAAGAAAAGTAGAGCAAACAAAGTGGAAGGAACAAGGACGTCGACAAAAAAAAAACTATAGAACCATAACAAACTATTTTTAGTTTACACGATGCTGAGTTTATTTCATATTCCTCTTTCTATCAAAAGGAAGAATAGCCACGATTTCTTTTATTTAAAGCAAACCCTGAAAAGTGGAAGAAGAAAAAGAATAGAAAAATAACTAAACTCAAATTTCAATTTTCCAGTTACCACTGCCAATTAGGGTACAAGATCATTGCTTAAGTTTTCATGACAATGTCTAATTTTCTACCACCTAACTAAGTTGATAATGTAGAATTCTATGCAACACCTAAAAGGGAAAAAAGTATAAGCAACAAGTATAACAAAAGCATTGCTCTCCTCCATTCACATCCAAATGTCAATAACCATGTGAGCAACAAAATACATGAGTCTTGTGTCATCGCGTCATCGTGCTGTTCCTCCCTTAACTCATCCATCATCCAAAAAAATGGAGATATCCACCAGAAATCTTTTATCTAAATGTAAGATCACCCTATTCTAACAAATTTTTTACAGAATACTTTGCAAAAAATGCAAATCGCGCCGTATTAATTGGGGGGACACACCTCCTGAGTTAAAGATCAAGGTCATACCTGTGATCCTTTCAAGAATGTGTTGCTATATTTCCCTACTCAACTGTCTTGGTTTAACAGAACTAAGCCGTCAGCACTACCACATGAAGTACTGCCAGCAGATGTACAGTGCAGAGCCGCACCTGAAGCAGTGTTAGTTTCACTCTGTTCAGTTTGATCAACCTGCATATCAGGCTTCACAGGCTCTGAAGACTCCTTTATCTCAGGCTTGTTATTGGGAACTACTTCAATATCAATTGGAAGATCATTGGCATCAGCAGCACTGGGCGCTTTATTCCTCTCACTGACCCCATCTGTAATTTTCTCACAAACAGCTGAAGATTCTAGTATGTAGTGGCAATCTCCATGACCACTAGAATTGTTTTCACAATTAACAGGAAAATGTTTGGTAATATTCTGCGATTCAAGATGAATCAAAACGTTGTTGGTGAGACCTGCTTCGTTGGAGACACTACGACCATTGGATCTAGAATGAGAACCAGGTTTATCATCAAGAATTATTTCAATATCAGCAGGAAGACAACCAGTATCAGCTTCACTGGATGCTTTATTCGTCTCATTGACACCATCTGCAATTTCCTTACAAATACCGGAAGACACTAGTATAGATTGACAATCTCCAGGATTTTTGTTTGTTTGGAGATCAATGGTTTTGGAATAACATAGTTCTGCTTCATCAGCATTTGGCACACTAACACTTAAATTGTTTTCACAACTAACAGGCAAATCTTGGGTAATATTCTGTGATTCAGTGTTCATCAAGATGTTGGTTGGGAGACCTGCTACACCAGAGGCAATATCACCATCTGGTAAAGAATGAGTGCTGCAACCATTGTCGAATTGAGTATGTACTTCTTCTGATCCAATACCGTCTGATTGAGCAGAGGTCTTAAATCTAAGTTCACAACTGTCAGAAATCTTGTGTGAATCATGGTTAATGTCAGCAGAATATTTTGATTCCCTTGTCCTAAACACGACTGGTGAGTCAATAGGAATATTTTCTGCCCCAGAGAGTGCAGATTTTTCAGCACAAATGTTATTTAAACCAACGTCAGTTGTTACTTTGACCTTGTTTGAACAATTTTCAGTAACCTCCAACAGTGCACCATCGTAATCTCCAACTTGGCAACAAGAATCAGCCACATGCTCACCAGCAATTTCAGTGCTTTTGTTGTCCACAACCAATTGTTCATGAACGGTCTGACATACAGCTTGACATGTGACATCTTTTGTAGATTTACTGTTCTGTACGTTGTCGCTAGTAATGTCAGGTGTGTTATTCAATGAGTTATCAATTTTCTTGCAACAATCAGATCCAGTTGAGTCATTCCCGTCCAGATTTGCTACCTTGCATGTAGTATGATTCTTCTTATGATTGGAAACTGCAACAAGTTGCATTATGCAAAACACAAATTCAAACATAGAAAAATGACAACAAATTGAGAACACAAATCTGAGCATAGATAAATGACAACAGATGTAGAGCACAAGTTCAAACTTAGAAAAAGAACAACAAATATGTAGATCAACAAGCATACACAATCAGATAATAGATCATGCCAAGCATCTAGGAAAACATACCTTCAGTAGGAATCAAATTTTCATTAGTAAAGTCATGCTTTGATATCTTCTTCTGTAGCATATCTACGTGAGGGAACACCAACAGATTCATGTTCTTTGTTATTTGCTTGCGTGTTTGATCAAGTGGCTCAAACCCAAAAACAGAAGTCCAGGTTTCTTTGAGTTCTGATATAGCTGGTATGATTAATAACTCAACATGTAAAGAATTGAGGGCCTATAACAATCAGAAATTGGGTTTTGATGTCAGCAAAATGAAAGATCCAAAGGAAAACAGATAACAAGAAAGTGCGGCATTATTATTTCCTGTTGTCCTAAAATAAGACTAACCATCACCCTTTAAAAAGCTAAAACTTCTTTTTACTTTGCCAGATACTACCTTTGGTCCTTTTCATGGGAAATAAAAGATTGAATCATCAAGACCAAGGAAGAGTATTTAAAGGAGTTAATATTAAGTTTTGATTCAAAAATAACAAGTTTTGATTCAAAAATAACCAAGTACTTGTTAAGATTTGTCTGTTTCTTATATTAGGACAAAAGTAAAGCAAAGTTTTTTATAAAAAGACTGGCAGGAAATCTTATAGAATGGGTACAGTATATTAATGAACAAGAAAGTAAAGAATAAAAGAAAGAAAATTGTTGAAGGTTGACACTTAACACCATTCACTGTCTACAACCCCCAAGCATCAAGACCAGAAGAATACAAGCTAATTCCACTTCAAACAACTCTCATCTATCTAGATGCCTCCAATATATACATAAGCCAATAAATTGACCACTAATACTAACTAATTCTCTCTTTCAGAGTTCAGTGACAGCAAGGGCTGCTTATGAAGCTATTCATGATACAATTGTTTATTACAAGAGAAGGGATGTAATTCTTTATAAATAGGACAACACATCGGCATACAATAACACAGTTGTAGCAAAAAAAAATAGGCTCTCATTCTGTTTCAGTGCTTTCCAATAGATTTTTCCAAAATATGATACACTCAAGTACATGATTTTTTTTATTTAGCATACTGTTTTGGTTATATTTCACTCTTTTACACTATGTAAAAGGTGTTACTATATTTATGTGACAATTATTAGTATGCATGTATGTTACAATTATTATGGACATATCAAATATTTTGTTATGTATGACTGTTTTAAAAAATCCTTCATACAAATTTTCTGTAAATATTACTCCCTAATTTAGATTATTTGTGCATCCTAGGGTCTAAGACTCTACACTCTAGTTTATTAATATGAAAGTGGAGCACTCTAAATAAATTTGGCTTCCATTTTCTTCACTTTCTCGAAATAAAAGCAAAAATAAATCATACAAGATTCCTATTTTAAGCAAGGCATTAAGCAAATCATGTCAAATGTCCTATGCTTCGGCGTCTAGCTAAAACAGTACCCCACTAAGTTAATATGGTGCAGATCATTTCCTTTTGAAAAACGTCACAGAAGAAAAAAAATTACAGGCTAAAAGAATTATTTTTTTGTGATCCAGGATAACAACATAATTGAAAATATGGAAAAATCAAAAATATTATAAATTGTTATAAACTAATTTAAAAATGAGCAAGCGAAATTATGTGCAACTAAAACTGAAGAAATCATGTCAAATGCCCTATGCTTCGGTGTCTAACTAAAACAGTACCCCACCCTAAGTTAATATGGTGCAGATCATTTCCTTTAGAAAAACGTCACAGAAGAAAGATTAGCCAGAAGAAAAAAAATTACAGGCTAAAAGAATTATTTTTTTGTGATCCAGGATAACAACATAATTGAAAATATGGAAAAATCAAAAAAATTGTAAATTGTTGTAAACTAATTCAATAATGAGCAAGCCAAATTATGTGCAACTAAAACTGAAGAGACATGTATAAAATGATGAACTTACCCTTTCAATGGCATTTAGAAGCCGACGGCACATGCCTTGTCGCCTATACATATAGCGGGTTCCAATGAATGGCATCTCTGCGAGTTGGTTCCCATGGATCCTATTTGATCAATTAAAAAACTGTAATCATCAAATAAAAATTTGTCTTTTCCATTGCTTAAGAGAAAATACTTCTCGAAGTACAATGGACTACACACTTGTTAGCTTGGAAGGGAAGTAAAGCTATACACGGGAAATTTTGTTTTAGCTTATAGCACAGAGGACAAATTTATGATTATGATATCTTATTATAGATGAGTAAGGAAACTTCACAAAAGGAATACCATTCAACTCTATTCTCTGTTAACATTTTGGCTTATAGTTTACCATGCTCTCCCTCTATCTGTAACTATTTAGCTATCCTCCATCAAGTATAACCCTTGTAACAAGTGCTTATGGATCATCTCCACACATTACCATACCATATTTGCCATCAGACCTTAATATTTTTTAGATCACATGATAAATATCAAACAGCACAGTTTTTACCAGATTGAAGCATATGTTTAGTTTTATTAGTAGCAAACCCACTGATTACATCTGGACAAGAAATACCTATAACACATAATTTCAAAAAAAAAGGTAACTAAAAGAAGTACCAAATACACTAAACCATTAAATAAAAAATTTTAAGTCCAGTCTTCACCCTGCATTTATGTTAAATATTGACTGCTTATAAAAGCATATATAAACATATCTAAAATTCCAGTGGACAAATACCTGATAGATGCAACACATATGATCTCATCACCTCTCTCTAGAATCGCAGTAATGAACCCACTATAATTCAGGCGTTTGAAGTTTGACCTAAAAATTGCAACAAGCATGTAAGTACTTCATATGGTATAAGAATAATATTTAGCATCTCTAAAACAATAATTACATTTTTGATGCATGAATGATGCCATCATTTATTTCTTAAATGTTTTTCCTTAGATCTAATTAATTCTTACAAAATTACTTAAGGTGAGGAATACACCTCTTTATAAGCTATTGTCAGACCTTATTTCTTCATGCCCAACACCGTTAGTTTTGGTGAGTAAATACTATTGAGTCACCCAACTAATAGGAGGGGATAATATATTTTACTTTAACAAGTCAAACTCTAGGATATTAAGATAGTTTGAATTAATATCAAAGATATTATAAGATATTTTATAATATTCCAACAGGTCTAACTCACTCTTCCAAAATTGACTTGTAAGGTGAGTGGTAGCACTCATTACAAACTATTTTTCATGCCTTGTCACTTATTCAGCATTACTTAAATTATTCCAATATGGTGGATGACTAATTGATGGGCTAATATCATTTTAGGTTTTCCATTGAGTTTAACTCATCTTAGAAAATCAATTGGTAAGGTGAGAGTTGTCACTGTTCATAAAATATTCTCAAGTCTTGTCTCTTTTCAATGTGGGACTTGGATGAATCAAATGGATTGTAAGTTTTATTTATGCCCAAGCCCCGATCGAGAGTACTTGAGTTTGAATCTTGGTTGAAACAATTATTGATCTGACATTACTTACCTTTCGGCTGAATTCTAGATTACCAAGGCCCTTCCTATAAGATCCGGGGGGGTAAGACCCAAAAATGTTGAACTACAATTTTTTCCATTAAATGTAAATAATAGAACTACGAAAATCTTTTTAAAAAGAAAACCTCTGAAATTGTATTGAGTCATTTTTTTGTTATAATATATTATGATCAGTCACTGAATCATTCATGAGAAGATTTTATTTATTATATAAACATAAAGTGAGGATGCATAATAAATAATCTGTATTTTTTAATCTATGATTGACAATCGTTATAAATATCTTTCATTAGTTTTAGAGATTTCATCTATAACCACATATCTAAAACTTAGGTTATGTCAAACTCGACCCTACAAAATCGGCTTGTAAGACAAAAAATATCCACCACTTATAAACACTTTGCAGTCGATATCTCATTCAATGTGGAACTCTCAACACACACAGCATGACACTTAGTCTGTGACCCTGGTGAGTGGCCAAGCGAATCTTAGATAAGCTCCGCTATCATCTTAGATTTTGGATTGAGCTTAACTCATTCTTACACAAAAAAAAAAAATCTTGTAACGCGAGCATGTCTACCTGCCAACTATAAACACTTTTTCAGACAATATATCCTCTAATGTGGGGACTCTTAACATCTTAGTTTAGGAAATTTTATTAAAATCTATCTAGGCTTTTTATTATCTTTACTTATTAATTAATTGCTTTACAATATCGTGAGGTTTAAGTGCCTTTTGTAATTTAGATTTTAGGCTTTTGAATAATGAAAAATATTGCCATTTTTGCTCCTTTGGAGAGTATCTAAATCTTAAGAGCACTCCATCCTAGGGGAATACTCTAGGTTTATTAGGGAAGAAGCCTGCAGAGGGCGTACTCTTGGATAGTTTATCTGGAACAATCGTGTCAAAAAGATCACTCTTGGATTGTCCTGCATATAGTTATTGAGCATGAGCATTGAAGAGGTCATACATATATAATAACAAGTTGAATTGCAGAAAATGAAGTTTTAATGCAAGTTTAGATAACTCTAGTCTGCTACTTCAACGCACCAATTAACAATATCAATGTGAAGAACATTCAAAAACCTAGCTTTTGGTTTTCGGTATAGGCACTCAGTATTGCTATGGCATATCACAATATGTAGGTATTTCAAATATAAAGGAAAAAAATGTAGGTGTAGTTAAAAGAAATACAGCCTTTTATGACTAATACCTTATAAGTCCAGTCTCTCAAGAGGGCCCTAATATGTAGGTAGTTAAACTACAAAGAAAAATATCCTGAGAATCTCATAAAAGTTGCTCTTCCCCAGTCCCCATAATGTATTGTCCCAGAAAATTCTACTACTCAAATAGGTCTTAAAAATTGGATATAGGTCTAACTCAACCCTGAAAAGTAGCTCATGGAGTGAGTGTCCCCACACGTCTATAACAATTATTCAAGTCATATCACTATCTGATGTGAGACTCTCAACACACGTCCGACAAATCCATAACTGGACATTTGGAGCGTGAATTTTGCAGGACTAGATGTATGTGGATGTTCATTTAGGATGAACAGACTCTAATACCATCTTAAAATTTGGAATCGAATTTAGGCCTAACTCAACCTCAAAAGTGAGCACTTGGTGGGATGGTTATCTCCCACTTATAACAATTACTCAGGTCATATTACTATCAAATGTGCGAGTCTTAACAAAAGGAAACTATCCCACATTTCAATGGCAGAAACTGATTGTACAGCACTGTTCTGCAAGCCCTAAGAGTAAAACTACAGCATATTTATCTTATATGAACCTGCAAGTTTTGCAACCACCAAGGAATATCTGCAAGGGCAAATGCATGATCTGGACAATGCTAGTTTGATGTATAAAAAGAGGCCACTTGAACTTACCCACAATTATATACAATACTGCGGATCAGATTGGTCCCACTTCTATGATCAATAAATGGCATGAAGCACTCATTCATTATTGATAATGCAACAGCCAGCTTTGAATTACACTCTACCAGATGAGGCTTTGTCAGAGAAGCATCAACGCCAACATCTGATCGCCAAATAAAAGACCAAGAAAACCCATCTTCAGTTTCATGTTTAACCCCAAGAAGCCTTTCAAGTCCCTCGGATAACTGGAGGTCAAAATAAAAAATAAACAATTTGTTAGTAGTGACCAGAATGTGTAAAATAAACAATTAGCCAGTTCAACTTACAACTATGCAACTAACTTAGCATCAACCAATTACATACAGTGATCAAAACTCAAGCAGATGAAAAAAAAAATAGACCATACCTCTTGACATTTGCTTCCGCAAAATAATGCATCGCCAGAATCATCAGTCTTACCACCATTTGCCTCAATACAGGATTTGTGAACTACAAAAGGTAAAAAGGCCATATTCATTTCGAACTGGGAAGTAACACAGCCCCTCGTGAGAAACATATATTTAACTATCAAAAGAATATAGATAAGGGCGTACATTTTTCCCCACATAAATGGCATGTGAGCAATGCAGGCATAGTAAACTCGTCATTGACAACATTTTGGTTTGAACTTCCACCAACCAACCCACAAAATTTGCAACAACAGTAAATGCAGTGCCAGTCACCAGATGGAAACTTCTGCATGTAAAAAAAAAATAGAAGTTTATTTTCCAGAACATAATTAAGTTGCACAATTTTCAATATGCAGATGTGTTAAGAAAAATGTGAAGTATATAAAATAACAATAAGATTTTCCCATTAATTCTCATGAAATCTTCTAGAAATTCAGAAACAAAAAAATCAACAAGCATATATATTTTCACCAAGAAGCAATAGGAAAGAAAAGGCACAGATGTTGAACAAATCTATTAAACTGTCACCAAATTAACATATATTGAAGCCGTTTTTGACGATGAGACCATAGATACTAAAGGAAAAGGGGCATGCAGACAGTTAAAGAACTCTATTAAGATCAGTTATGTCAAAATGAATTGAAGTAACCCATGCAGACAGCATCAAGAGACATACTTTTATATCCAAACAGCTTTTATGGAACGTTGATGGGCAACCATCACAGCACATCAGGTCTCCACCATCTCCACAAATACCACATGTATCGTCATTAGGATCTTCACCCACAACATCAACAAAATGAAAACTTTTACGTTCAGATTCATCTTGTTTATTCCATGAATCTAGCAGGCACTGTAGGAGTGAAGTTTCATCCTCCGTATATATATTTTTAAGAGGATCAGATTGTTTGCTTCTTGCATGAACTCCAAAGTCTGAAACTGTTATGATTGAATTACAGCAGCCACAGTGGATACCATCACCTGTGATCTTACCTTCCAGTGGAGCAATTTCCAACTTGTCTTGCATATAACAGACCTTCCCATTTTGAGGGATTGTGCCCAAATCAATCATCCAGGCAAGTATAGTTCGTTTTCCGATGTATGGCACATATCCGTTAATTTCTGAATCTACCTCTTCTGTAGCATCACGAACCAACAGAGCACCTCGCGTCTTGTTCTGTGTTTTCTGCCGCTTCCGATCCCTGGCCAGAACCGGCAACCTGTTAGGTGATTTAAAATCTGTATCGCCATCCTCGGCAAGTGATCTTTTCCTTTTCATTTTCCCTTTCACTGACTTACCCTTGCCTGCACCAGAACCTGGTTTTATTTTTTTCTCTTTTCGATTGACCCCATCAACATTACTTTTAGCTGAACATCTTTTCTTGGTAACTACTCTAGTCAATAATTTGAAATCTTCCTCTGGTATTGGTGTAAATTTGAATCCTGGTCTGTACAGCTTACCTTCACCATCCCCCGCTTCATAACGCGCTTTAAGCCTCTTGTACGCCAAGGTAATTGACCAATGTGTTCTTCCATCCAGAGCAACATATACTGCATCGTGATAATCTCTTCCGTCTTTTCTAGGTCTATGGTCAACAGTCCATCCTGCATCCGAGAGACATTCCATTATTTGATTACTCACCAACTGCTTTTGTTCACGTTTTTTTCTTTGATTGGCAGCAGGTGCTTTCACAGTATTTGATTTCCTCTTCTTTTTAAACTTTTTACTGGAAACTTTTTTCCCATTTTCATTTCTCGCCTTTCCGTTACTATTATGTGACACAGTCATTGGATACTTTTGTTGGTCGGTTTTGGGAGGTCTTCCACGCTTACGCGGTGCCTGAACTAACTGATCATCCTCTTTTATAACTTCTTTGAGAGGCCTCCCAAACTTACTCAGCGGCTGAGCAACTAATTGACCTTTCTCTTTTATCTCTGTTTTCGGAGGCCTCCCAACCCTACGCGGTGGCTGATCAACTAATTCATCTTTCTCTTTCATCTCTGTTTTTGGAGGCCTCCCAACCCTACGTGGTGGCTGATCAACTAATTCACCTCTCTCTTTTATCTCAGTTTTTGGAGGCCTCCCAACCTTACGCGGAGGTGGCTGGTGCTGGTCAACAAATTCATCTTTCTCTTTTATCTCCGTTTTCGGAGGCCTCCCACGCTTCCGTTTCAATTTCTTCTTGCCCTTCCCTCCCATTTTCACCTCAACTCTTTCAATCTCGTTCCCAACAGTTAAAATCCCACCAGCTTCTTTAAGCTCGTCAAACCCACCAGGTTCTCCAATATTCCCAGCAGTGTCATTCCCTCCATTATCAGATTTTTTGTAGTCTCCCGTCTTTAACCTTGACCGCAATACTCTAGCCCCACTCACCTCCCTATCAACCTCAGCTTCTATATTACTATCACCATCTTTTAAACAACTCCTAGGGCTACTATTCCCATTCTCAGCTAAGACAACATTTCCACTCATGTTCACCTTTAAATCCAAACAGCTCTCATTCTCAGCTAAGTCAATATCTACACTTGGACTGGCATTCAAATCCAAGTCAAGTTTTGTTTTCACAGCACATTCAACTTCGCCAGCACAGTCAACTTCACCAGCACATTCAACCTTGTCTTCCTTCTCAATCAACAGGGTAGGTGCCTCTAAGCCCTCATCCCCCAAAACTAAATCCATGTCTTTCTTCTCAACCAACGAGGTAGGTGCCTCTAAACCCTCATCCCCCAAAACTAAATCCTCGTCTTTCTTCTCCATCAATGAGGTAGGTGCCTCTAAACACTCATCCCTGAAAACCAAATCCTCGTCTTTCTTCTCAATCAACGAGGTAGGTGCCTCTAAACACTCATCCCTGAAAACCAAATCCTCGTCTTTCTTCTCAATCAACGAGGTAGGTGCCTCTAAACCCTCATCCCTGAAAACCAAATCCTCGTCTTTCTTCTCAATCAACGAGGTAGGTGCCTCTAAACCCTCATCCCTGAAAACCAAATCCTCGTCTTTCTTCTCAATCAACGAGGTAGGTGCCTTTAGACCCTCATCCCCGGAAACTAAATCCTCGTCTTTCTTCTCAATGAACAAGGTGGGTGCCTCTAAACCCTCATCACATGAAACCAAATTATCATCGTCTTTCTTCTCAATCAACAAGGTAGGTGCTTCTAAACCCTCTTCACACGAAACCAAATTACCATCGCCTTTCTTCTCAATCAACAAAGAAGGTGCCTCAAAACCCTCATCCCCCGAAACTAAATTATCACTAGCATTCTTCACAGAAACCCTTCCCTTCTGAACAACCTTTCTTTCACCAGAAACCTTCCCCGACCGAGTCCGAGATCTCAACCCTTCCCTCATTTCACACAAAACCCTAACTCTACAAAAACCATAAACCTGAAGTAAACAGAAGGAAAAAACAACCGCACAGTATACCCATTCAATTCTTAACCGTAAAATCTTACAGTTACAGCAAAAACCAAGCAAATTTGCGTATAAGCTTCAAAGCAAAATCACCAACACAGTTTCTGCAACAAAACGCAAACAGCTTAGAAAAAATCGAAGAAAATGATCAGATCAAAATCAAACACATAAAAAAGGATGAAAAATCAAACGTAACTTACCAATGTGAGAGTGATTTCAGAGAAATTAACGAAACCTAGAAGACCGTGCGAGGAATTAGAATGCTTTGAGGAGCATTGTTCCAAGGTTAAGTTCGGCTTTAGAGCGAGAAATTCTAGAGAGAGAGAGAATGGACATATTTCAAAGACGGGGTTTAGGGAGTGAAGAAAGAAGAAACTACCACTACGGAGAAACCGTATTCAGATTTTATAGTGCGAGATTTTCTTCGTCTTTTCTTTTTTATTTTGACGAAATTATTCTTTTCTTTTTTGGTAAATTACTTTCACAAATATTCACTAATATTCTTGCTTAAATCTTTAACATGTGTTGAAAAAAATGAGTTAATCGTTGATATTTTCTTTAGTTTTGAGTTAAAAATTGTTATTATTTATTTAGTTAAGATAAAAAATATTCTATAAAAAAGTGAGGCATTTAGTACTTGAGCATTTGATGGTTTTTCAATGTGAAAAAAAAAAATAGGATTAAATATATTTTAATGTGTGAAATATGAATTTTTTAATTAGTTTTTATTTTTTAAAAATGCTATCTAAAGAATGATATGATGTTATTTTTAATTTATGATATGATGTTTTCTTGTTGATAAATTAGTTAAGATTTTCTTATTAAATATATAAGATGGTCCAAATTTGGTTTAAAATGAAGAGTATTTTGATTAAAAAGACATAGCTCATATGAAAAATGTCATTAAGTATATGACAGTCGTTTTTATTTTCATAAGTTTTAATTTATATAAAATTATTGGTAAGTATTATGTTTGATTTGCTAAAAGAATGGGAAATTATATAATATAGCTTTAGTTGTGCTAAAGTTTATAATATTGGATAAAATTGAGAATAAGGTATTCTATCATTGTGCAACATATCTAATAAATATTAAAATATTTTCTTTCTTTTTCTTTTGTTTTTCTTTCTCTGGTTAAGACTCAAATTAAACTCATGTAAATGTAAAAAAAGAAATTGAATATAGGTGGAGAAGAAATGTTGCAAAACTATTACTCATCATGCATGCATGCAAGTGAAGTGGCATGCTTAACTGATTTGAATAATCATTTAATTACTTGATAACTAATTAGAAGATAGTTACAATACAATTAAATTATCTTATGTATTAGTTAGTTTACATCTAGCTCTCTATTATCTTTAACAGTCCCCCTAAAGTTAGAATGTATGTTAATCATTCATACCTTGCCTTGGAGAATGTAGAAAAGACCCAAGTAAAATGATTTGGTGAATATGTTAGCAACTTGTGCTTTTGATATGACAGGCATGAGACGACAACTCTTGCTAATACCATGTCGTGCACCACATGACAATCAATCTCGATGTGTTTGGTTTTTTCATGGAATACTGAGTTGGCAGGTATATGCATGGCGGATTTGTTATCACAATAGATAATGATTGGGGAATCATGTGGAACGTTGAAGTTGTTGAGCAAAGATAGGAGTCAGATGCCTTCGCAAGTAGCATGTGACAATGCCCGACATTGCTCGATATTCAACTTTTGATGAAGATCGAGATACAACAATTTGTTTCTTGCTTTTCCAACTGATGAGCGATTTCCCAATGAAGAAACAAATGCCAGTGGTGGATCTGCGCGTGTTTAGGCAAGCTCCTTAGTCTGAGTCAGAGAAACCTTTGAGACATAAGTTGGAAGATGGGATGATAAAAATAATCTTTGGCCATGATTGTTTAAGAAAATGTAGAACATAAAGACCAACTAGCATATGTTTATCAGTAGGAGCATCGAGGAACTGACTTAGCTTACTTACTGCATAAGTAATTTCAGGCCTTAAATGAGTAAGGTTTAGAAGTCTACCAATGAGTCTACGATAGACAGTGAATTCAAAAAGTGGAGTTGTAAGTGAGGTTGCATTGGTGTATTTCATGGCTTTGCACCAAGGAGGCATGCAACTTGTATGAGATCCAAGGCATATTTCCTTTGACGATGAGAAATACCTTGAGCATTTCGAGCAACTTCAAATCCTATGAAGGATTTCAAAACTTCCAATTATTTGTTACTGAATTTGGCATTGAGAAGTGCTTTCAGCTGAGTTATTTCTTCCAGGTAAGATTCACCTAGAACTAAATCATCCACATATACAAGTATAATTGTAAAACCTGTCGAGGAATTCTTGGTAAATGGAGAATAATCAACCTTTGATTGGATGTAACTAGTGGAAATAAGTGTATTTGTGAGTTTGGTATTCCATTGTCGACATTCATGCTTCAGTCCATATAGTGACCTTTGCAATATGCATACAATATTAGGATGTTGTAAATCTAAACCATGAGGGGCCCTCATGAAAACTTCTTCACTGAGGTCTCCATGAAGAAATTTTATGTTTACATCAAGTTAAAATAGTGGTCAATCGTGAACTACAACAATGGGCAATAGCACTTGGATTGTAGTTATTTTAACCATATAACTGAATGTGTCCATGTAATCTAATAATTCAATTTGTATAAAATTATTGGCAACTAAATGTCCCTTGTACCTCTCAACAGTTCCATTGGCATGCGTTTTCAGCTTAAAACCCCACTTGCATCCAATGATTTCTTATGTGAAGGTAAAGAGATAAGAGACCAAGTATTTGTTTTAATTAAAGTATTTATCTCTTTTTGAATGCCATCTTTCCAATTGACATCACAAATAGTTGACTCACATGATTGAGGTTCATTTATGGCAGATAGATTTAAAGTGTAATGTTTTTGTGCAAGAGAAAATGCATCATATGATAAGAATGATAATAGAGGGTACTTATATTGAGAATATGATTTGGGAGTAGCTACTTATGAAATGGAGACTGTATTGGAGATAAGATTACAATAGTAACCTTGGAGATAGGTAGGAGGTTTTGTATGTCAGACAGCTTTTCTGATAGGTAATGGAACTTGAGAAGTGATACTATTATCATGAGCATTATTATTTTAAATATGTGGTGGTGTAGGTATTAGGGTGTGTGAAGGAGAATCATATAAAATAGATGCAATATGAATAGGATGAGGACTGGAAGGAGAATTACTGTGAAGAGTATGTGTGTATGAGTGACCTAAGATACCATCAAAGTAAGTATGGTTAATGGTCTAAGGCTAAGTACTGAGTTGATGGAAATCAATGGAAGATTGTTTATATGGGAAGTGTTGTTCAAAAAAGGATACATTTTTTGACACAAATAATTTCTTGCAGTGCAAGTCAAACAGAATGTGACCTTTGGTACCAGGTTTATAACCTCAGTATATACACTTTTTAGATCTAAAATCTAACTTCTTTCTGCGATCTTTTAAGGTGGAAGCGAAATATAATGAGCCAAAAACTTTGAGGTTTGTAAGGTCGGGTAGTTTATTGTACAAGATTTGGTAAGGTGACTCGTGCTTTAAGAAAATAGTAGGAAGTCTATTAATGATGTGAACTATATGGGCAACGTTATAAGCCTAAAAAATGTGGTAATTTGGATTTAAATAAAATGGCTCGAGTAATACCTAGAATGTCTTGGTGCTTTCTTTCAACAATGTCATTTTGCTGAGAAGTACCAACACAAGATGTTTGATTGATTATGCCAATTTGTTTGTAAAAATTTGAGAGAATGAATTCAGGGTCATTATCGAATTTAATGCATTTAATGCTTATGTTAAACCATGTTTGGATCATTGTTACAAAAGATTTAACAAGGGATGTTGCTTCATTTTTTAAATTCATGGGAAATAACCAAGTGAATCTAGTATTATCATCCACAACAGTAAGAAAGTATGTATATATATATATATATATATATATATATATATATATATATATATATATATATATATATATATATATATATATATATATATATATATATATATATATATATATATATATATATATATATATATATATATATATATATATATATATATATATATATATATATATATATATATATATATATATATATATATATATATATATATATATATATCCCATCATAGATGGTGTAGATAGGGGACCCCAAATATCTATATGCACCAAGTCAAATGCAGAATTGGAAACATGATAATTGGGATAAAATGGGAGACTCTTTTGTTTAGCATAAAGAAATACATCACATGGAATAGAAGAGGATACATATTGATAAAAAGGAAAATGTTTATGTAATTGAATTCATTTTGTATTAGATGGATGGCCAAGTCTTAAGTGCCAAAGATCATAATTATGAGTTGTGTCTAAAGATTGATCATGTAAGATATTTATAGAATGAGTATATGGAGTGCGATACAAGGTAACTGAAGGAGAATCTAAGATATACAATCCATCATTCAATCTATATATGCCAATCATCTTCTTGGAATGAGTATCATGTATGATGCAATCACTATTATTACACATCAATTAACATTTCAAAATTTTGGTTAGCTTGGGAATAAATGTGATTAAGAGAAAAATCAAACATATATAATACATCAGTGATATATAAGCATTTTCTAAAGTGTATGGTGTTTGCATAATTAGTAATGACAAGGGTTCCATTTGGAAGTTTGATGGTTATGGGATTGATCTATTTGATGCACTGAAAGAAAGCTTTTGTATGACAGACATAATGTGTTACACTAGTATTAAGGATAAAATTCTCAAGTTTTGGAAAGTTATGAATGGTGCATATGATGCTTGGGCCATTGTCAACTTGAGTTGTCAAATGGTTAATGTTGTGAGCCTGAGAAAATGTTGATGAGGAGCTTCCT